AATCCTCTTCAGAGATATTGAGGAAAAGGAGCGGATGGAATTGACTGGGGGAAGAGCGCGGCAAGGATGGTCATTCTGTATGATCTGGAAAGTTTGAGGCTTTCAACTGATAATGATGAGGAGTACCCTCCATCTGAGGTTTGGGAGGAGATCTATAGTAAGCTGGAAGAATTCGAGGATGTCCCCAATTGGCAGTTTGAAGAAAACGTGATCAAGTTGCGCAACGCTCACGACAAGTCAAGACACAAATCGTTACAGGAAGATTTGATTTTGGCTGATGACCTGGCCAAAAAACCAACAACCACCTGTTGGAAATCGGTTCTGGCGGACATCAGACTGCTTGTCTTCGTCCAAACCGATTGACAACGCTGTGGCCCATCAAGCCATAATTGCCAACCAGCCGTGCCAGCATGCGACCCATCAAGTCGTCATGCATAGACACTAACCATAGCGATCTCCGATCCGTCTAATAGGAAATAATCATCTCTACAGGAAATAACTATTCTAAAAGACTTGTTATCTACATGGAATGGGCAAAGCAAAAGCCTTGCACGAAAACTCAAATTTCCCAAAACTATACTGGATGTTATGCAATCCAGAAAGGCCAGTACAAAACCCACGTACCGAACTCCCTCAGGATTCAGTATGGGATTTTCGTGGCGCTCAGACGTTTGATAGTCCAAGCGCACAATTCCATGTTTTCAGATTCCCTGCAAAACCGACTCATAGGAATCCCCCGAATAAACGGATCAAACGGACATTTGTCCGTCTGTCCGATCGGACTTGTCGAACTGCTTCTATCAAGGAGTTTCCAATGAATGGTCTCCAAGAGAGCAATTCCAACAGCACCCATAACGCACGTGGCGAGCTCAAGTTTTATTTGACGAGGGCAAAACAGCTATTGCGACATGATATCGAGAAAAAAAATCATGTTGGCTTTACAGCATCAGAGTTTCAAGAGAATTCTAACAGGAACGGGACTCGTGACTTGACCTATAGGATTCCCTAAAATTTAAGCGCGGCGGATTGGCAATCATTGGCAATCCGCGCTTAATGTAGTAGCGCATCGGCAATCCGCGCCTAATGTAAGCGCGGATTGCCAATCCGCGCTTAAATGTTTGTGTGTTCGCGGGTAGACCGATCATTGCGGGTGGCACAATCATTGAATCTACTACGACCCGTTTGAATTGTAAGAAGCTGCGCCAGCTCGGAGAGGAATGTGCCCCGCACGCGCGCTTTCACGTTTTCTGCGCGATGGGCCGGGAATATTCGTTGTCTGAAGTTTTCTTGTTCGTGCCAGAAACGCTCCTTTTTCTTCTCTCTTCCCCCCCTCCTCTTCTGCCCTTCCCCCCCCCCCTAAGCCCACACCTACCGGTAAGGCAGCATACAAATACCAGTGTCTGGTTTTGTTGTCACAAGAACATGAGGACGATCTCAACTCCCATGGATGAAGCTGGCCACCGGGTTTGGGATTCGCTTCCATATTTTGAGTCTGCGAACAAAGATTATGAAGAGTACGCACTTGCCCTAATAGAGGATGAAATGAAGCTAGTAAAACCGCCAATACTCCCTGATATCACACCAATCAGGTTCCGATCAGCGGGCATGAAAAAAGAGTGCGAGATACTGATTGTTGGATCGAAATTCGAACAGAGAAAACAGCTTCCGCACCAAAAGCACCAAGGTGAACCACGAACTGAAAAAGCTTCCATCTCCGGTGTGCAAGACGCAAAATGTAAGTACGAAACAGAACGAATTCGTTCCCAGCTTTTGGAGGTAGAAAAAAACGAGGCGGCTGAAAGCTGGAAAAGTTTCAACGAATCTTTGTCTCTTCACCAAATGGAATTGTCAAGAGTCGTGAAAAAGCAGTTTGAAGCTGTCGAAGAGATCAACTACGAACGGCAAAAAGCACAACAACAGCAATTGGGACCTCAAATTGAGACCCTTTCTACGGAGTATCAAAGAACTCTCTATAGAAGGAACCAGTTCAAGCACAGCATCGGCTCACGTGATGGAAACGAGATGCATTCATAATCGCTAGGTTGAGGCTTTAATAATTCATTAGCGCAGGAGGCGCTCAGTCTTCTGAGACTTCAAACGACTTCAAAAAATCAACCATGTCTTCCAAAATGGGATCAACGCGAAGCTGTGTTACCTTTCGCGCCTCTATGATCTTGCGATGCGTCTGTTTGGCGATATCATCGTAAAAAATATTCTGATACTGCGGCGGTAGTTCTTGTTCAAAACTCAGACCATCACTCGACAACAGTAATCTTGTCGTTAATTAGTAACCAAAAGCTCTTTTTGAGACACAATTTAATGGTGAGCAAAAACATACCTTGCCATGCTAGAGCGAAAGTCTTCGATCATCGCACAGAACTGACCAGCAAAAGATGCCATCGAACTTGCACAACGCCTACCCTTGCTCTTTCGTTTGCCCCATCCAAAGAGGTCGCAAACCTTCGCCAGCATTCGAAACAAAGAAAACAGCGGGACGAGATAGTTCGGTAGAGTGAAACAGACTGCCTTCACAGAGGAGTTTCTTAAAGCCTTCTGTGCTTCTTTCAGATGAACAAGCGATCGTTCTTCTAGGATAATCGAAGCAGTGAGTTCCCGTTCTTCCAAGCCATCCTTTTCCAATCCGGGTGTCCCTGAGCCAACTACTGATAATGCATGGCATATGCCTGCCAGTGCCGAAAGCAAGTGTTTGCCCCCAGTAGATGCTATTTCTTCGGATTGTAGTTTCAAACTAGCTACAGTTTCAACACTTCTAAGAAAGCTTTCGGTCCTTCTCTTGAGTTCACCATTCGGGCCCCCAACTTTTCCTTTCTTCGGACCCTTAATGCCATCAACAAAAATCGCAGCTCGTAAAAGAAGCCCATGAATATGGCCTCTCCGAAGCGCACCGTGGATGATGGAGTGCTTCTGATCCAGAGGCATCGAAAATCGGAATCGATGCGATAGAATGGAAAAATCTCTGTTGTCGGTAATATCACCAAAATCTGTTTCACGTTCCATACTCTTGGCCCAAGAGATTACGCTCAGCGAAGCAAATGGATTGAAGATTTCAGATGTCATCTGAATTGCACGATCATAATCACTCTCTCCGCCAACGATACCTTGCAACTGTCCCAGCTTTCCGTGGAGCATCATTTCGTGCTCAGTTCGCTTCCTTTCAATAGGTTCTCCGAGAACGGCAGCTGAATCCAGAATCAAACCTTTGGCTTCTAACATCGAAAGGCTCCTGTTCATCTTTGTTCTCTGAAATACTAAGAACTCGTCGGCTTTGCTAAGGATTCCTGATTTCATTGCACGACCAGAATAATCGCCGCAATCTCGAGCAGCAATTGTATGGAACCGTATCATCGAGTTGCAAAGCTCAATAGTTTCGTTGTAAAGCCCACCACAGACGAGGTATGGAAGGATTACGAAGGAACAAGAGTCAAGTTGAATATGTTTTAGACTCAATGTCTTGTAGATTTTCCATGACAATGAGGTCGCATCGAGTTGGTGATAGATGTCCATGGCAGCAAATTTCAAATAGGGATTATTTGGGGAGTAGACAATCGCTTTTTCCAAAATGGCAGCAGAAGTGATTTTTGCACTCGTATCTTCAGGATTCATGTACATCAACTTGTTTATTGCAAGCAATGCCAATTCGTCGCCCGGCTTTATTTCTTTTTCAGCCTAGCAACCATATCGCTTTGGGTGAGACAAACGCTTGCAGCCTATACTATGATTATCGCACGCACCTCTTCTGTTCCATCCGATTCTGACATTGCAATTGAGATTTCCCTCTCGGCAAGCAATGCAGTCCAATTTGCGATTGATGGACAATCGTAACCTTTGCTGAATGCCAATACTTTCTGAATGAGCTTTTCAGCAAAAATATATGCCCGCAGGTCCGAAAGGGCCTCGCCATCGTCCTTCGTACTTTCTTCAACATTTGATTGTAGCGAATGTTTCTTTTGCAGATCAATGGAGAAAGCAACAAGTACCTTTGCACCATCGTGGACGTCGCGAGATTCAAGCAGAACATCGATGTAGGACTCGAGGTCAGAGAAGGCGCAAGACGCTCTGGGTCCAAATGTCTTTCCATATGTAATGATCGCATCAGCAAGGTTGCGTAAAGACGCATCATTGGAATCGCATTGGGCAAAATGCGCGGCAAGCTCCACTTTCATCAAGTGAGGACCCCGAAGAGGGTATTTGGATGCTCCTTCTTGTGCGATGATTTTCCCAACGAAAGAGCAGGTAAGATCAACAGATTCAATTTTGGCGCAGCAATCCAAGTGCCCTTGGAGACAAGTCCAATCATCAGGATTCTGAGCCAACAGGTCTTCATATATCCTTCTTGCAGCAGAATAATCTTCAATTTGGGTGAATAACTTTGCTTTCATTGTCTGTACTTGATAAGCAGTCAAGGATACTCCAAATTCCGAACCAGAAGGTGCTTCAGCGATTGGAATAGAGTCCTGCTGGAGAATCTCCAGCATATCTGCTGGCTTTGCCTGGAGCTCAAGTATCCTGTGACACAAAAGTCGAACCTCAGCAGAACCATTAGTCCCAACTTCTTGCTGAATCAAGCGCAAGGCCATAGATTCTGCCAGGCGAGGTAATATAAGCTGTCTTTTTTCATTGTACGGTAGCCATTGCAACTGCCACAGAGCGGCTTGGGTAGCCCAACCTGTTGCAAGTCTACTCGAGCAGACACTCTCTCCTTGCTGTACCACCAGTCGGGCGAGCTGCAGGGCAACAACTTGCAGCTGAGAAAGAATATGCGTTTCAATCTTCTCCCTCGATGTCTTGTCCCACCGCGAAGGCGAGGCCAGAACGCCAAGTCCTAGAGTGAATGATTTAGTCAAGAATTCCTCACTCGGTGCAGTTGAGACTGCCCACGCGTATATTTGGTACGCTGTCAATGGTAGTTTCAAGCTTTGAAGAGTGACTGCTAGTGTCGCAAGGGTTGTCTGTTAAATCAGTTGACGAAAAGTTAATACAGTCCGAAATGAAATCATGATAACGTGTGCCTGCATACCTCATCTGTGATAACAGCTTTTAAAGATGGTAGTTCTTCCCAATTTGGAGGAACACTGGGCTGATTATCTAGTCTGTCCATCATTGATTCATCTTTGGTTGTCGCAACTATGTCACTCTCTCTCGTTGTCACTTGTACTGGCTTCTTCTTCCCTTTCTTGCTTTTTCCTTTCATTTTACCTTTGAGCTCGCCCTTCTGAATTGGAAGTTGAGGGCTGTTGACAACCGGCGAAGACATCTTCAATTCATCGCTGAGCTCGCAACATCCACCCACGATCTTATTCAAAGTGACCAAGGCAGCATGCTTCTGACCTGACTTGAGGTAGGCATGCGCAAGCAAAGCTTTCCCGAGAGTATTCGACTCTGGGAGTGAAAGTGCAAGCTTTACGGCTCGGCTATATTGGTGGCCGTCAAGAGCCACATAGATTGGATGAAGTTTACCACTCGACATGCCAGTCAAGTTGCGATGAAGGTTTATTGTCTTCGTGTTGGCATACCACACAATTATTGCGAAACAATTCCCTGCAATATTTAATATCCACTTTCCCCCTAAGTTAAAACTCTTGGCGGATAGAGAAACAGAGATATGGCGAAAGAAAAGCCGCAAAATTGATTGACAAACTCAACCTCTCCTTTGTTGCTCAGCCAAGTCTTACTGTACCGTTTGGCTGCAGTATGGAAAAACTAGATGACGCAGAGGTACTGGAAGTAAATGACGCGAACGAAACAGATCACATGAAATCTGAAGAGATTGAAATGCTCCCTCTCAAATCAAGGCTCGATTCGGACGAGGAAAGTTTTGTGTATGAGAAAGAACCGTGGACACTACATAATTGGTTGCATCCACCAGATTTACCGAGAGCCTGTCAATTGCTTCGGAAGGAGAATATTGGTAGGTTCCGTCGCCTTAAATCTCGATCTCATCTGTAACGCCGTTCTAAATGACCCCCGAAAAACGTTGAATGAATCTTTGTAACAAAGCTATTCCCGCTTGCTACTTGCTGGTGGGAATTCTCCAAGGTCTTATTGGGCCTTTGATCAATGTATATCCGTTGGATTTGGGAGCAACAGAAGCCCAATATAGCACAATATCGAGTCTTCGCAGCCTTCCAGCGACATTCAAGCTTGCATTCGGTTTCCTGTCTGATAATTTCCCAATTTTTGGGTACAAAAGGAAGTCATTCATGATGTTAGGTTGGTTCATGGCGTCGCTGAGTATGGGATTTTTGCTGTTTGTATCCGATCTATCGCTGCACGAAGAAGAGTTTGTGGACGAGCAAGGAGAAATAGGAAAACGAGTTGTTGCTCCCGAAAACGCCCCTTCCATTCCATTGCTGAGCTTGGCTACCTTGCTCTTTGGGACTGGCTTTTGGTAAGTATATGCTTTGTTTTGGTCTCTGTTATATCGATTGATTCTCTCAGCGCCAATTTTCCAACGAATAGGATGGCGGATGTTATGGGCGACTCAGTTGTAGCGGAGAAAGCGAAATTGGAGCCTGAAAATGCAAGAGGAAGTGTCCAATCATCTTGCTACTCATATCGCTTTTTCGGACTTATGGTGGCAGCGCCCTTCTCAACGACGATTTACAGCTGGTGCGGTCCGAAATTTGTCATCTTTCTTCTGTCAATGGTACATTTTAACAGACTGCCGTACATTTTGCAGTAAAGATGTACAACTCATCTCTTTCTTTCTCTCTCCCAGCTTCCTCTATCGATTCTACCTTTGGTGTATTGGCTTCATGAAGAGAAAAACGCCCCTGTTGCTCCTACAAGTACGCAATGCAAAGAAATCTGGAACACAGTACGATCTCGGGCGGTATGGCAACCTTTAGGGTTCGTATATCTTTACAATGTGTTGCAAGTGGGAAATGTGGCTTGGAAGGAATATCTGAAAACAACTCTGGGATTCACAGCGGTAAGGGCACTCATGTTTGTACCACAATTTTTTGACACGAATTTTTCACCTTACTGCTCGATCAAGGCCCAACTGAATTCCATATATGTAGTTGCTTGTGTCCTCCTTTATGTTGGTGTTGTGATATACAAGTACTATTTAATCAATTGGAGTTGGAGAACGGTTTACGTGGTTACGACGGCCCTGAATGGGCTGTTTAGCTTCCTTCAAGTGCTTTTGATACTTGGAATTACATTTGGTCTTTCAAACTTTGTGTTTGCTTTGGGCGACGATGCTTTTGCCGAGTTGATTGGAGGCATTCAATTTCTGCCAACAAGTTGAGTACTGGTACATTTGCACTTCAGTTTTTTCCTGCTTTTCTGACTGCTCCTGCCATCTCATTTTCTGTCAACGAATAGCAATCATGATGTAAGCAAAGTCATAGTTTTTGAAGTACCTTTCATTTGCATCAGCCTAACAAGATTTTGCTATTCTTTGCAAACGAAGGGTCCATCTGTGTCCTGATGGTTCTGAAGGCGCTTCTTATGCCATGTTTACGACAGTCAACAATTCCGCTCTCAACTTGAGTGCGGCGATATCAACACAGTTGCTTCGAATTTGGGACGTGTCCAAAGAAGCTCTGGCACGTCATGACCTCTCTGGAATGATTAATCTGACAATATTAACCTCATTGATACAAATCTCAGGCCTTGCCTTTGTTGGGCTTCTCCCAAAAACCAGAGGCGAACTTTTGGCGCTTAAAGAACGAAAATTCGGAATGTCCAGTCTCGGTGGAGCTATCTTTTTGTCAATTACCTTTACTTCGATTCTTTACTCATTGGTTGTAAGCATCTTGAACATAATCAATCCTGGTTGGATGGGAGAGAGTTGAGCTTTTGCAACATCGAAACGCATCAAAACTCAAATCAGAGATGATTGGTAGCAGCAAGACTGATGCTTAGTTTCAAGGCTGCTTGCAAGTCCAGCAACTATGTATCAGCATCACAGTTCCTTTCTATTTACATCTATTGTAGATAACTTGTCGTTCACTCCATTGCAGTCACTGTCTTTTTTAGGAACGTTCAGTACAATCAAGAGTATACTCTTGGTACCACACCGGGGATCTGCAAGAGGTACTGAACTAAGGTTATAGTGCGCTTCACTGCGCTTCTTGATCGGCAAGATGGAAGACGCATGTGGTGGGCTAGTAGATACCTGTAGCTTCCCCTGGTCTCAATTCGGTTGATTCGATTGAGGTGCGCCGCTTCAGTGAACTGCGCTTAGTGGCGGAGGACGGAGTGAACAGCGTCGGACAGAAGGTTGGAGACAAAAAATAAGAATAATAACTGAAACATTAATCGATTAAATGCTAGGTAGCGCATACGATTGCCGGTGGAATGGTCGGCTGTAAAGGTCAAGTACTGTGGAGCGGCGAGTCAACAACAAGTTTGAACCATGTGAGGCG